ATATATTGATATATATATTATATATATTATAATTGTTAATGCATATATACATGTACGCATAATTATTTTTTACATATTTAAATTTATATATTGCGTACAAATGTGATACTTGTGGACATTTAAAAGGTAGGGTCACACAGACATCGGGCACATGCGTAGGCAAGCATATCGGCATTTTTCAGACATCTTGCAGACATCAGTTTTTTCTTGTCCAACCGACGGTTATTATTTTGTTTTGTCTCGCTTAAATGATCAGCTTCTTGTACGATATATCTTTATCGAAAACCGCTAAAAAAAAAAAAACCGTCACGAGTGTTATTTTCATTAACGGCGCAGAGATAGGTTTTGTTTTTTTACACTTTATCGTCGGTATATTACGTGTTTCGACGCGATTATCTTCTGCGAGCAGCATGTGACATAATCGTGAGAAAAAGGAGAATCTCTCGTAACGAGATTGTTCCGAAGAATCTTGAACTGACCGAAAACGCGAAAAGAACAAATTGAATGAGCCAAAAGGAACGAAAAGAATAGAACAATGAGGATCGTTTTTCACTTGATCTTGAGAGAAATTGTCATCGTCACGTTGTTCGAGAAAAAGGGCTCAAAACAAAAGCTGAGAAAATATCGACGTGAACCGAAAGTATACCTGTAGCCGTCGCAAAAGAAAAACCTCAAGAGAAAGTTCACTCGTGCGTGAAAAGAGACAATTTGTTTGCGATACCGTAAAATTTGTGAAATAAAACAGGAAAGCGTAAAAAAAGACAATTTGATTTAGGGAGGAATCTGCGCGTTGCGCCGTTACTTTTCGCGTGTGCGCAATTGTTTTTTTTTTTTTTTTTTATCGTGAGTTTCTGTACCACCACCGGGTTCTGACAATCGATTCTTATAATAACGCGCTTCGTAAAAAGTAACGTGATGCGCGTCCCGTCGCGGGTTAATAGCCCGCGCGTGCGCCAATTACATTCAATTTGACTTTTATTGGCGTGTACCTCCTTTTGCATGCTTTGTTTGCTTTTACATAATGACGAAGGAGAGCTGAAGAAGAGCTGATATATACATATATGTACGTGTGTGTGTGCGCGCGCGCGTATATATATAGCAATGTCATAACTTATTCATATAAGAAACGCGTTGTCTCATATCGACTCGATTTCGCAATATTGCAACGTGAATTTTTTTAATTTTTGCTCGCAACTTCGATTTGTTGCAGGACCATGCGGAGGCAAAACAACCGGACAGACCAGGCTGTGCACTTTTTTCGAGAACATGGGCTGGAAGGTAGGCAGAGAACTTTGTCCATCTCCGAAACATTTTTGTCACTTTCCGGTCTTTGTTGTTGAGAGAGAATGAGAAGAAAAAAAAACATCAATCAATCTCTGTCACGTTGAGTTTCAATCTCTCAAAAAACGAAAACTTTTCTCTACAAATGACACTCTCGTTCGATTCTCGTAGAAGAGATTTTTGAACCCGACGGGTGAAACCCGCATGTCCGAAACTGCAATCGCATCTACAGATACGTGTAGGCTCGCACATAAATCACAGGAGAATAGAGAAAGTGTTTGCAAAAAGAGTTTTTTTTAAAAAAAAAAAAAAAAAACGCAGGTGTTCGCGCACAGATTACTATTTTTTTTATTATTATTATTATATAAACGTACAGTTTATAACAATAAAGAAATAATCGTAATCTCTCTGCGAGCGAACGTCTGCGCGTTTCTGGCTATTCACAAAAATCAAATCTCTTTGTCCTTGTTGAACTTGTGTGGTTGTTGAAACTGTTCGTTAATGATACAACCGAGCACGATTGCCGGTTCTATATTTTAGATTTTTTTTTCTAGAATATATAAAAATTAATTCCGCGATTGTTTGTATATACAATATACTTCGAGTCAAAGGTAACACGTCGAATACGTTTTTAATTTTGTCGGAGAAAAATTTTACTTCGTTGTAAGTTTACAAAGTCGCGTATATACAAAGTGATTCTAAAGTAGATTTTATCTAAGAGATTATCGAGTTTTTTCCAAGATATATATTCGCGTCTGATCGCTTTCCGGCATTTAGTATTTTTCGAAAGAAAAAATGTGTACAACGGGATGAATTTCGAATTTTTGAAAGCTCGCGTGAGCTTTTTTGCGGTCCGATAAAGTAGCCTCCGAAGAGAAAAGCGATAAAATGCGCGATCTAGTTTTTGAGAAAGAGAAGAGAGAAATCTTCTCTGTGCGCTGTTAGATACGACAGGTCGTTGTCTTCGACAGGTGGTTGTCTTCTTTTTCAGGTGTATCGTGTCCCCGAAACAGCGACCGTGCTGCTCAGGTATGCAATTATACAAAACTTACAAAAAAAAAACAAAAAAAAAAAAAAAACAAAAGAAAATACAAAAGGAAAGAAAGTAGCCGGACCGAGAGAGAGAGGAGCGAACTTACGGTATTTTTTTTTTTTTTTTATCCATTAACTTTAGAGAAAAGAACACGCGCGCAATTTTATATTCAAGTTGCACGAAAGACAATTCAAAAAATTAACTACAAAATGGATGTGTTTATAAATTTTTATAAAATCATAATTCGTTAAGCAACGGATTTTATTTAAGAGAGAGAGAAATATGTGCGAGACATCTGTTTGCTTTTTTTTTTTTTTTTACAGAATTTTAGAAGGTCTTTCCCAGGATCGAACAAAAGCTTTTTCGAAAATCATCACATGTCGTTTGCGCCTCTCTCGTTCGGTTTCCGTTATCGCAATAATGTGGAAGAGAAGTCGCACGCGCAAAAAAAAAAAAAACCTATTTTCTCGTTACATAAGCGAGCAGTTTGCATGATAAAATTTAACACAAGAAAAAATGTAGTTGTCATCGGAAACACTTAATAAATTCATGTGTAGTATAATAAATGTTAAACGATAAATCGCGCGAATAAAGCAGAAAAAAAGATCAATCGCGGAGAATTCCAAAAGTATAATTTGATATATTGTTTGATTTGTGTTCGTAGAAACCGTTCGATCGGTTCGATTATTGTGTTCATCTTTTTCAATATGTATTATTATTTGTGACGCGAGCAATTCGTTGAAAGAACTTCGTCTGTGAATATCACACGTACACGCACATTTGCGCTTGAGTCTTGTTAACGGATACGCACACACGCGCTATATTGCTTTAATGATCAAGCGATTGAAGGAAGCAGATACACCTCATATATCGTTCGAAAGAAACAGATTAGAGAACACGATACACAGCCCGTGTAATAATAATAATAATGATAATAATAATCATAATAATAATAATAATTGAAACTCCCTTTGCTCACGCAGCTGTGCAATGTACATACATACATACATACATACAATCCAAGTCCCCATTGATTTTTACGTTCGTAACATAAAGATTAAATTTGATTATAGTGAACGCGCACACGTTACCAGCCTAGTATTTTGCGTACGCAATTATCTCATTTGTCGTCTGCTTTTTTTCCATTTCAGCGGCGGCGTCAAGTTTTCAGACCTGAATTCGGAAGAGGGTAAGTTCGCGCTTGATGGCGTTAAATTTTTTTCTGTTTTTTTGCATTACTCGTCCCTCCACAATTCTTGACATTTATTTCCAGTACGCGATTCGTAATCTAAATACGCGACTGATCGCCGAGTTAAATGATTAATAACGAATTAATTATGTATTAATTGGTATTTAATTACATATATTAAGTAATTACTATTGAACGAGATTATCTAATTATATATATATTAAGTAATTAATGTTTAACGCGAGTTTAAGTGATTTTGTGATTGATTCAATTATTAAAATCTTTTTATCGTTTATAAACTGGTAATTTGTGATGTGTTGATTGTGTCGAGACTGTGATGTTCCATTCGGCGAACGCAACACGAGAATCGAAAAGAAAACTACTCGAGAACACACAGCACACTTTTGCGATCGATTGTTGCGTTTTTTTTCTTTTTTTTTTTTTGTCGGAAAGAATTAAAAAAACAGAACAAGATCCTTTTCGATTCTCATTGGATTAAAGCTACGCTGATCTAACAAAGAGAGCGAAGTTTCTTTCGGACTCAATCGATGGAAATATAATTGCCTTTATATACGCGGCATTGTAACAATTCGAATTTATATCTATCGATCCGCTTTTTATCGCGCGCGTTTGCTTTGAGCAAATGCGCGATTAAACGGCAGACCGGGTGTCTCGCGACGGGATAGAAGAACCAGAGATCGGAGCGTTATTTCTCGTCGACCTCGAAAATCGCGCGTTAAATCTTACCCCGGAAACATGATGACGGATTGCGTCAACCGTCGCAATCGCGCGTAATAATCGAGCGAGCGGGTGGAAAAATCCCGCGAGGTTGACGAAGAAGAAAAAAAAAAGAAAAAAAGGAAGGTTTTTTTTTTACATTCTAATCAAACGGTTGTCGTCAAACCTGTTTGGCTCGCGCGTCGCGTGTGAATTAAATAAAAAATCACAGTTTTTCTTTGTTGCAATAAATTTTCAACAAAATCGCGCGTCTGAGAATTTCGCGTTCTAGCGCCGAAAGGACCGCGCGAGCTTCTATAGCGGGCGCAATAATTCCTCTCTTGCACACCTCCTCCACGTCGTCGAATTGCATAACGCCGAAAATTCTTGGCTTGACGCGACGAGCTGTCGCGGCCTTTTCCCCCCCGGCCCCACGTCACACACGTGCGTCGCACGGGGGGGAAACTTTGTGCTCGCGATTATATCACGCCCAGCTTTATTATTATCGTTTTTTTTTTTTTTTTTCCACGTCGATTAGCATCCGCGCTAACTTAGTTCTCATGCACACGCGTTCGCTCCGACGAATTTGCATCTCGCTGTTTTACTTCCGACGTTCGATTATTGCGACGTCTTTTTTTTTTTTTTTTTCTGCTTCAACTTGTTTTCTCTTTCATTCGCCGAGACTTGCGCTTTGACTTGAGCGTTCGGAAAATTGACGTTGAAATATTTCAATTTAAAAAACGTTGCGCGAAAAGAACAAAGAAGAATAAATAGAATTCTCATTTTGCTGCGCGGGTGGTCGCCGTTTTGTTTCGCACTTTTGTTCGCCCCTTACGTAAGACGATCGCACGGCTTTAATCAGCTCGTCCTTGAACGAACGAATACGAATGTCACAGGCTTCTTCGCTTCACTTTGTTTTTTTTGCATGCGTTTATCGTCGTCGTCGTCGTCGTCGTCGTCGTTACATTACAAAGCAAATGCTCTTTTGGAAAATTTCAACAGCGATATCGCGCGAGTCGAGTCCCCATCATTTATCATATTCTTTTGCACAAACCAAACAGCATTGTTGGAAAAGCAAAAGCTACACCGATGTTTACAACCGGTGATTTTTATGACTTACGCGGTGTAATTTGACTTGCGTTGCAATTCACGTTCGTCGTCAGCTAACACTTGGCCTAAACAAGTCAAGATTTTAAACTGCAGTGCTGCAGTGCTGTATTCGTTACTAAAAGTTCATTAAAAAATTTTTTCAAAGAGAGAGATTCAACGACTCAACATCCAAAGTCCCCGTGTGTGTGAAATCCACTATACTATTTAATTAAAAAAAAAAAAAAAAAACATTTACTTAATCACACGTAAAAAAAGAAAGAATGTTTCGAAGACGATATATATTTTGAGACGAATTGGTGATTTTCTAGCGGAGTGTCCTTCGCACGCGAAATCCTCGCGACTAACAAATCGTAAGAGCGACGTCTCCTCCCGCGGGGGCGAGGCTAGATGGCCGCAAGTTCTGGAAGTTAATTCCGGCGTGGGTGAGTCCTGGGGTTGGAGAGCGAAAAGACACACGCGACACACAAGAATTCGTTACACGAATAAAATGTAAAAAACAGATAAATTTTTAGTTAAAAGTAATGGTAAAAGTAACAATCTTCTCATCTCGTTGTTTGTTTGTTTGTTTTTTTTTTCTTCAATTCTTATCTCGTTCGATTTTCCAGATCAATTCGTATCGTCATTTCCTTTCACAATAGAATAGCTTTATCTCTTTCTTTCTTATCTACTCATTCGATTGGTTGGTCGCTTGTTGTAGATACATACATATATTCATATATTGCCCTATATCTCGTCGGTAATATTGTCATTTTGTTTTTGTTCTGTTTGACTTTTTTACATTTCGTTTGCGTATCCCGAAAAGCTACTTTTAGAACTGCGTCGTCGCCAACACACGAGAACTTCCTTCGTACAATTTCCTATTACGAAATAGAATCGCAATATTCGCATTGACGCGAGTACAAATACAAATTTTTCCTCACGTTTTTATTTTTTGTTTAGCGACGATTTTGCGTTCTATGCTAGGATCTCGCTTGAGAAGGACAGTCCCGGTCAGATCACATTGATGCAATTTCGCGCAAACACGCTGTAATGTTTCACGAGCATTGTTCTTTTTTTTTTTTTTTTTACCGTAATCCCAACGAAGTTCGCTTCCACAAGAGCTTTGAAGCTGTAGACTGTGTTGTTTCTTTCTTCAAGGTAAACGAGCTTATTCAGGCTAACGCGCTTTGAGCTACCGTCCGCGCATAAGTCTCATAAGAGAAACATATATATAGGTGAGACATAAAAGACTGTAATCGCGCAAGATATATCGCAAATTCTCTTGTTTGTTTCAGCGTTCAAATTTCAGGAAAATCTGCTGCGCACAATGATCCAAATCGAGAACACGTTTTTCCAATTAGGTGAGAGCTGTCCGAGAAATTGTCTCATCATTTGCGACCGCGGCGCAATGGACGCTTCCGCTTGTGAGTAGAAAATCTTGCTTTTCAATTCTCTTTTAACTTTGATCTTTTCTTGTGTTTTTTTTTCTTTTTTCTATTTGACAACGAATTTTCATTGAGAATTTTCTTGGCAGTCATCTCGAAGGACAAGTGGGAGCTAATGATGGCCTCGAACGGATGGAACAACGTCGAGCTGAGAGACAACAGGTAAGATCAAATGTAACTTCGTCAAGGAAAATTGTCAAACTCCTCTTGTCGCGCGTATCTTCTTCTCGTCGAAGGAGATGAATCGCACAATCTTGTGCGATGTTTTTTTTTTTTGTTTAATTTAAAACATACTTGACCAGATACAACCAAATCATCCACATGGTCTCGGCGGCGAACGGAGCGGAGGATTTTTATTCAACTGAGGATCACGCGTGTCGCTCGGAAGGCGTCGTGGTCGCTCGCGAGCTCGATTACAAAGCCGCGGCCTCCTGGGTCGGTCATCCTTACTTCGACGTGATCGATAACTCGCAGGATTTCGAATCGAAAATCTGTCGTATGATCGAGTGCGTGTGCCAGAAGCTGGGTATCGACATCGGCGACCGGTTGCGATCCAGCAGCCGTAAAGTCAAGTTCCTCGTCAAAGCGCCGCTGCCGCCCGACAGCGAATTCCCGCCTTTCCAAGACTTCGACGTTGTGCACAACTACCTCCAGAGCAACAATCCCAAGATGCAGGCGCGCTTACGTAAACGCGGCCAGAAAGGTAAGACCTTAGGAAAGCTTCATGTTTTTTTTTTTTATAATCTCTGTCTCTTCATATTTATTTTGATTTGCACGCACAATTATTTGTTTGAATTGAATAAAACGAACAATTTTTTTTTTAGATATAATGTCGTTAATAAAATATATTTGCAAGCCCTTTGTGCGATTTTACATCGTGCTAAAGTACAAGTGTCTGAATGTCTTTGTATTAAAAGGTCATTGGTCGTATATCCACACAATTCGCCGACCAAAGATGTGCGGACAAGTGATCGAGGTGAAGACTCAATTAACGCAACGAGACTATTTGAACATGCTGGCTCAACGTGACGATTCGCATTTCACCATTTATAAACGTCGTCGTTGCTTTCTCATCAACAATCAATATTTTCAGTTAGACATATACAGAGAACCGGCGCACCCCAGGTAAGATTTTCTACAAAACTACGTGATTTTAAACAAATTGATTTCGTTTTTATATTTGTATAACCAAGCCGTTAACTTTATCGAATTATACATATATATGTATAATATATATATATATAATCAAGCCATTAACTTTATCGAATAAATGATGTGCGTGTTGCAGATGTCGTGGTTTAATGTTACTCGAGACCTACACGGCATTGACGGGCGACGAATTGAAAAACATTCTGCCGCATTTCCTTACGATCGAGAAAGACGTCACCAACAATCCAGATTACAGCATGTTTAATCTGAGCTTGGTCGAGGAATGGAACAGCACCAACAAATATTGTCACAATTTGCACGGTACTGTTATCGTGACTCTGTATTTTTACGTCGCTTATCTGAATTATCTCGCTAATAAATGTTGATTGGATTATTTAAACTTTCTTGGCTTCGAGAGTTATACGTGTATTCTGATTATAACAGCGATGATCTCTGAGACTCGCAATGAAATAGAAATAACAGAATATGTAAATCTAAGTTTGTCATTTTTACTTTACACAGGCACGATGCAGTCTACAGAAAATCAAGTTCTCAACTTTTCGACCTCGAAGAACTCGACGGACACGCAAAGCTACGGCGGATTGAATTCCGTCGTGAACGGTCAACAAGAAACGGGCAACAAAAACGTCAATGGCGCTCAGAAAGATCTGGTAAACGGTAAGGCTACGTTTGCCGAGCAGTGTAGCATAAACAGCGATTATCGAAACTCGACCGTTCGCAATGGCGCCTCATCTACGAGGTTAGACGATAGTTTACAAAAATTGAGAATCGACGAGTCGCGGAAAAACGGATTCGAGGACATAGTCTAATAATAAGACGAAACAATTTTATATATAAGAGGCAATAAGGTACTTTATGAGCCGCTCGCGCATAATTCCGAAACTATAACGTAAACGAAATCTAATAATTCTCAGAACGCGGATTGTCTAAATTAATAAATGTATTGAGTGAAATTGCAACCAGTTGGACGCAAGATAGATCTCTGAAATAGAATAATCTATTTTTTAATCGAGCTTGCGTGTCGTACTTATCGTAAAGTATTTGTCGTGAAGGACTCTACAAGTAGTCCAGGTGGGATTTTAGAAATCGGGCCAATATATCAGGCTAGTATTGCGTCTTTTGTAAATTCCCACTTGGACGGTTTTGTCACCGTTAATAAATAAAATTTAAAAAAATAAAAAAAAAATGTGAAAATTTTCGAAGAATCTATCATGAAAAATACAAAAATTTGTTTATAATTTTGAGGAATTCAAATTTTTACTTAAACTTAAAACACTTACTCTACTACCTTCTTATAAATTTAGATATTTTTTGTCTATTAGTTTTTATTAGACATATCCAAAACAAAACGAGAAAATAAAAAGATTTCTCGTTGCACATTTGTCTCTTATTTATGTATATGTAAAATTACAAAACCGAGATAAATACGTGTAGTATATTAAAATGAAGTGACGTTGATGATAAAATTAAATTTCAGTAATGTTTTGTTAAACCTTCACGAAACGAGCAATTTGTCTATTGACATACCGAGTATTTGTATTTCACTTTATTTTACTCTAGTACTCTAGTTTGTCTAATATATTGTACCTCAAGTATTGTCTCAAGAATTTGAAAGAGAATAAAAGGAAAAACTGATGATGATGAGAGAGAGAGAAAGAAAGAGAGAGAGAGAATGATTGTGATAGAAAAATACGCGTTGAAAAAAGTCGATATAGAACGTGCAAAAAATCCTAGTAGAAGATAAATATATTGACGCATGCTTGGGACAGCAACATTGTTGGGAACGCGCGCGTTGTAGCGAAATCTATTGAGAATATAAGAACTTCACAAAGCGTGTGTTTTAAAAATATCTCCTCAATGTATTTAATGTCAAAAAGATTGCGAAAGATTATGTTCCGATACCTTTGTATATTAGTCGTATAGTAACGTAAAAATGCGAGAACTTGCAGGTTTTACAATGAGTTATCAAACAGCATTTATTTCGATTCTAACTTATAAAAACGTGTTTTCTATCATTTTTATAAACCACATTTCAACGCAATGCAAACACAAACTCGAAATTCTTTCTATAAAAAATTGTGGGGTAAAAATAAAATCTCTAATTAGTTTATAAATTGTATTTTACTTTTTTTTTTATGTATGCGATTTTATTAGATTCTTGATATTCTTGATATGTACAAGATCTGACGGATCTCATTGTAGCCTGTGATTGTTTTTAACTTTAGATAATTTAGAAACGTCTGATAACTCATTTTAAAAAGCGTTTGGAGATGATCAAAGTAGATGCAATTTCTTTTGTCACGGCAAAACTCCTAAGCAAACTACTGTCGCGGTACTTAAGATATAAGGTGCTTGCCTATAAAAGCAATTTAAAATAATTATACATTATAGGCGCGATCATCTCTTGTCCGATCTATCATTTTTTTATATGTAACAATAATATATCGATGTAAGCTCTAAGAAGAGATCTCACGAGATTGGGATAAGAAAAACACGCGCTGGTAAAAATAATAAAAAAGAAAAAGAAAGTGAGAGAGAAAGAAAGAGAGACAGAGAGAGAGAGTAAAATATGATTGCGAGATGCTCCTCTTGTAATTCCTCTTGTAATTCTAAATCTAAGAGATGACGCTTGTGCACGTCTCGCTATCGCATTTTCTTACACGTCAAACTAATCACTCACAAATTTTGCCACTGTTTAGAGAGAGAGAGAGAAAGAGAGACGAAGTGCCTGTTAAACGTTTGCGAAAATTAAAGAGAGAAGAAAAGAGTATATATATATATATAAAATTATATATATATGTATAAACACAAAAAGTCTATATTTTCAATCGAGAATGCAATAGTGAATTATATCAAAGCGCACTCAGTTTACGTAGATAATGGATCTGAAGGACAAAAAAATATGTTGTACCCATAAGCGTCTAAATAAAACAAATGTCATGTGCCTATCATGTCTTATGTTTTTACCATCGTGTCATTGTGTGCCATACCTCGCGTCCACATCAAAGATAAACGCTACTTTAATATCATTGCTATATAATACTAAAGTAACGTTTATATAAATTTTACTTCAATTATAATATGTATGAGATATCGCGAGGGAAGGGATAACGCAGATTATCAAGACATTTGATAGAACAGCTAAGTCATTTTACTGACAACACGAGATTTACAGTTTTTGGTTTTTGTCTTGACACTTTTTTGTTTCGACTTTTGGTCTCATAATATTTACTTATTTTAACAAATAATTTGTAGAATAGACGTGTATATATTAATGAATATACAACCACGTGTGTAAACCATTCAAGGTCCCCGAATACTTTTGTTAGAGAACACTTTTTTATCATTTTTAACCATATCCGAACGGAACCTTGATAAAAGAGTAGATTAAAAAGTAGTTGGTTTTAAATTTTCAAGAGTTTAAACTAATCCTACTTTTAAAAGATAATTATTGTATCTATAAGACTTTGATAATTAATTAATTGCACAATTATTATTATGACTAAATGTGACTAAGAATAGTTGCGTTTAGTCTCGATCGCAGCATGTGTGTGTATATATGTATATAAGGAAGTAAATATTTATCGTTTGTACAAGATAAGTATTTAGTAAGGAAGTAAATATTTATCTTTTTTGTAAAAACAAAGATAAGAAATACAAAAATATGTACTAACTGCGCTCAGCTGTGGTAATTTAACGAAATGAGAGTCCGGGTTATCCGGAGATGTTCAACATAAAAAATTCGCTCCCTTATCAAATAATTTATTCCCAAAAGAAAGTCGCGATACACTTGCGTATCGTAAAAGCGTTATTTTTTTAGCGCGATTTTCCCTAACACGCACTTGACGAAAAAAAGTGAAAAACAACGGAGATATGGAACAACTAGAAGACATGTTTTACGAGGTTTGAAAAGCCAGTTTTTACGCGCGCGCTTTGTACATGTAAGTAGTCTTGCGAGAGACAAGAGTTCTCTTATTTCCCTAATCTACGTACTGTAGTTTGCATTGGAAGCATAATTGGAATTTTTTCTTTTCTTTACACACATATGTATATATATAACGCTCTCTTGTACCGCGCTCTGCTTGTGAATCAAAAACCCTACGACGACTTTCAAAGTTTTTTTTTGCCGAACTCCTACGTGTTTTAATCATTACTGATGATCTTACGTTATCTTACGTCGTTCATTTATTAAACTATTTTGTTAATTATTATTATGTTAGTTTTAAAAATTGGAAAGAGAAAGAGAATATAAAAACTTGTTTTGTTTTTTTTTTATAACGAATCGAATTGAACAAACTCGCAATTGTGTTTTTCTTTTTCCCCTGAAAGTTTTTTCAATTTTCAATTCTTTACTTTGTTTTACTTGTCGTTTTGTTTTTTTGGTTTTTTTTTTTTGACTCTGGCAAAAATCGCCCACGGTGCGCGTACATTTTTTGAGCCGCGTTCTTTTTTTTTCAAAGAACACATGTAACAACTTGGCTAGAGAAGACATTATTTCATTTCTTAATACTAAACCTGAACAAAACGGTTATTCATCTAGTAACGGTTTTGGGTTGCTGCTGTTGCGCTTTGTACAGCTTGAAAACTTTCTTACTCGGAAGTAACGATTGGCTCAGACCGGGTCTCTTCTTGCGCTTTCTGTTTGCCATGCGATTGTTCTCTTGATCAACCTCGTTCTCGTCGTCGCTCGCGACCTGCAACACCTGCTGCTGCTGCTGCTGCTGTAGTTGTCCGTTGCTGTAACGAGTTTGACAAACCAGCGTCTCCTGCGGAGTTCGCAGAGCCTCCAATTCGGCCGCGCTTCGGTGCAAATCCGAGTCGTGGGCGAAGGTGCAATTGTGACCGAAGCGACAACGGCCCTTACGATAATTCCAGCAGATCTTACGGCCGTTTATCATCTTTGTGTCGTCCAGCGTGGGCGTCATCTTCACGTGCTTCTCCAGGATCGCGCTCTTTGCTCGCTCTGCCTCGACAAACGGATTCGAGAACACAGAGGTTCTAAGCAATGTGGGCGTGCTATTGAAATCTGGTGTGGGCAATGGAAGCTTTTCTTTGGAAGCTGCTGTTTCAATTATTTTCACGTATCCGTTCTCTTTCTTGTTCTCATCCTCCCGGTCATCCTCTTCTTCCTCATCCTCTTCGTCTCTCTCTTTCTCGGACCCCGCCGACTTCTCAGCACCCTTAAAGCTAATGGTTAGGCAATATCAGATTACAAAGAACAAGGTGTATTCCGCATGTACATACACGGTTGCTAAATGTAAAGGTGTTTAAATTGCTCCAACTTTCTCCTCTCTCTCTCTCTTCTCAGCTAATTTTATCAAATTTATCTATTGCTACGTCATTCAAATTATGAATTTTACAAACTCTTTTCTGCACCTTTTTTCTATCTATATATAACATCATCTATGTATTACAAGATCCTTCTGACATTTATTTATTATTTTCTTGCTTGTTCAATTTCTCAAAGTGATCCGTCAAATCATCTTGTTTCTCTTCACATCTGATCTCATCAAACCTAACCCCCTTTCCCCGAAGTATAGCGCGAGGTTCACGACTAATTTATATAATTCTACACTTGTGCGCTAAAACGAACATAAACAAACGGGAAGTTTGATCTTAAACTTGACACAGTGGCCCAAACTTACGCATTATCCGAAGCGTCGTCGTTCGTTTCGCTGTCCGAGCCAGAGGATGTTCCGTAATCCGCAACCAAGGAAGCCATAGTGATATATAATATCTCAGTCGATTAGTTACGAACTAGACGATCTAAATCGCGCGACGTAATTAATTAATTAATTAAACGTAATCATCGCGCGAAGTTTAGACGCCGTCCCGTCACCGTCCGTCCGAGATCGCAGTGATCCGGTGACGGAACACCTGAGTGAGTGAGTGAGGAGCAAAAGCGAGAACAGAGACAAGACCGGAAGTTGTCTCTGAAGTCGCCGACTTTAGACGCGGCGATGATTCGAGATCGCGCTTGGCGGTGAATACGAAAAACTTAACACGAAAAATGTCTCGCGAGTTTTCACACGTAATTTATAATAATAAGCTTTTCAACAATTACACGCGCAAAGTCTGTGCAATAATTAAAGTAGCGGCAAATTATCGCAAAACGCTGCGAAATATCAAATTTCTTAAAAAAACAATAAATACTTGAATAATAAAACGTCGCGATCGAACTAAAATATTTTACTCGAAGCAGGAAACAAACTGAACCAACAATCACTCTCCTGTAAAGATTAATAATATTATTTACATACTCACACATACGGAGTTTTTGTTATATAAATACAAACATTTATACACATAACTAATATATATATTATATATATATATATAATAATATATATAATATATATATAGTAAATAAGAGAAGCTAAAATATATAGCTTATAATAATTAAAGAACTTAATTAGCAATATATTTTACCGTTTTGTCATTTGCGTCGTAATCGCAGTTGTTTAAAAGAAAAAAAAGAATTTTTCTCTCTGGAGAAAATTTTCATGATAACAGAGTATCACAGTTTTCACATGTAATCAACCGACATATGAAGCAAACCCAGTTTTTATGATGTGATTCATTCACAACAGTCCCTCAAATGTTTATAATATAAAATAGGGTTTATATATGTACAATACCATAAAAATGTATCATCAGATTGAGTCAGTGCGTCGACGAGGAAAAATCAGTTCTCCATCCTCGACTTTTTCTTATCATCGCGTCGGTCTTCTCTTCGTTTTTGTTTGTTCAAAGTTTGTTCCGACGCAGGACACAACCGCAGAGTTCCGTGATTATTTTTACATTACACATATTGATTACGCAACTATCCTTAAGATTGCGATTTTTCCATCTCTTTCTTCCAGTCCTTCGCGAAGGCCATGATCTTGAGGTTTGGTCTTTGCGATTCATCCTCCGGAAACGTGAAGTCGAACACTTCCTCCCAACCGTCGTTGTTGCCGTCCTCGTCAACTATGCGTCGCTTCTTCTTCACTCGGCGCGGCATCTTCTCCATGATCTTGGCGAGGGTTTCAGACGTGCCTTTTTCGCTCTCGAAGTCCTTCCAAGCCTCGAGCAGCAACACTCGACTCTCGGTGTCGCCGCTGTTTCTCAACGCGTTGTTGCCGCGCTCGAATATACGTCTGGCAAGAGCGACGTTGTCGGGACTGTCCTCCAGTTGCGGGTTCAGCAGCTCGAACTTGGCGTAAGCTATCCAGACCTTGACGTGCAACGTGCGTTCGAGCAAACGTTCGAACAGCTGACGGGCGTTTTCCGCCTCGCCCTGAGCGATCTCGAAATCGATGTACGATTTCCAGAGCAGCTCCGGCATGTCGAGTCGCGGCCGCGCGACCGCGAACTCGTAGATCGCGCGGGCGCGATCTATCTCACCCAGACGCGTTTCCAGCTCGGCGAATCGCATCCACGTGGTGCAATTCTCCGGACCGAATTCGAGAAACTTCTCGTACAACTTGCGACACCGATCGAACTCGACCAGTTGCGTTTCCAGATCGATGTAGCCACGATAGAGCTTGTCCGTCGGACAGACACCCAGCGCCAGACCCAACGTCTTTCTCGCCTTCGCGAGATTCTTTTGTCGAATCTCGAAGTACGCGTAATACAACCAGATCTTGGAGAATGTGAAGCGTTTGTGGGGTACGAGTTCCAGACACACCTTGTAAACCTGACGGCAACGTTCGACGTCTTTCGCTTCAAGTTCCTCGAAGATCGCGTACTTGATCCAAAGATAGATGTACCTTCGCCAGAACTGTTTCTCCTTGGTGGGCGGCACGTTGGCGATCGCTCGTTCGTACGTCTCCCGTATCACGTCGACGTTACCTTCGGACTCGACCAGTCTCAGATAATCGAACCACGCGTCGTAGTTGGACGGATTCTCCTTCACTTCCTGCTCGTACTGATGCTTCCGCTTGCTTACGATCACGTCCTCGATTCCCGAACGATCGCCGTACTTTTTCTCGTGAATCGTATAAGCCTTGTAAATCTCTTGACTGCTGCTTTTGGATAAATGTTCCAATGCGTACTTGTAGATGATTCGAGCGCGATCGTGTTCCCGCTGACCCTCCTCGAACCTGGCGAAAGCCAGGAACAACTTCTCGTCCAGACCCTCGTCTCCGTAAAAGTTAACCGCTCGTTCGTAGACGTTTCGCGCGCCTCTGATAAATCCGTAAGACTCCTCGAAGCGCGCGTACTTTATCCAATGCTTCACATCCGGATGTACCATAACGAAGCGCTCGTAAATCTGTCGGGCGCGATCGATCTCTTTGTAGCGCAGCTCGAACTTGATGTACGTCTGCCAGGCCTGTTCGTCCGGTTCCCATTCCATCCAACGCTCGAACACTTGACGCGCACCGGCAATGTTCTCCAGAGTTTCCTCCATGTACGTGTATTTGTACCAAAATTGATTTGCTCGCGGCAGCAACGTGACCGCGCGATCCCACAGGTTCCTGGCGTGATTGACCTGCCTGTTGCGCATCTCCATCTCCGTGTACTTGAGCCACAGAGATATGTTACGATGATCCACCTCCAACGCTCGCTCGTAAATGGATCTCGCTCGTTGGATCTGTTTCTGACTCTCTTCCCATTGCGCGTACTTCATCCAATTGGAAATGATCATGCGGTTCTTGCGTATAACGTCTTCGAACGCTTTGCGCTTTCGGTGTTGATAATCGGCAAGCTCGTGAGGATCCGAGATCTTCTGCTTCGGAGGTGGGGGCAGAATCTCCAAATCGCGTTCTTTCGCCTCGCGAAGCAGCTGCTCGGCGGTGATCTGTATCTCCGCGGGCGCCTTGTTCTTCACCTTCGCCACCTTGGGCATCTTCTGCGACTTCTCCATGGCTCCGTGTGAGAATCTCACAGTATATTTTGCTGCAATATGAAAAAAAAAGTAAAATCGATGCTACTTTTGAATTTTTTTCTAGGTTAGAAACGTTCTGTCCGCGATACGTACGCGTATCTCAGTTGGAACAATCAAGATATCAAGATTTGATGCGAAACCTCGGAGATTTGTCCGATATTTCGTCAATGTTGTTGTAAAAAATCATCAAATGTGAAAACGATACGTACACAAGCTCTCTTCCTCTAATTTTCGCTTCTACTTTTTGCGCCTAATGATCAGAGACAACAGATTACGTTTGAAACCGTCTCTTAGGTCTGTATCACACCGCGGATTGAGATTGAATTGCAATTCGACCAATCGAGTCGAAGTTCACTAAAACTTGACTTTCGTTCTTCCAATTGGTCGAAAGTCTAATCCGCACGATTATTGGGTGCGTTCGGACTCAACGGTTGAAAGATCCTCACTTGTGATAGGACTATTCTTGAAAATCTGCCGCGGTTCCACAAGTACGATCCAATCCGAGAAGCGATTGGGTGCGTTCAAACAACTCAACGGTTGCACAACGGTTGAGAGATAATCACTTCTGATTGGATCGTACTTTTGGAACCAAATCAGATTTTGAAGAATAGTCCTATCATAAGTGATGATCTCTCAACCGTTGGGTTGTCTGAACGCACCCATTGGGTGCGTTCAAACAACTCAACAGTCGCACAACGGTTGAGAGATAATCACTTCTGATTGGATCGTACTTTTGGAACCGCATCAGATTTTGAAGAATAGTCCTATCATGATCTCTCAACCGTTGAGTTGTCTGAACGCACCCAATGATAAAAAAAACAATTACGAAATTATTATCTAATGTATAATTATCTAATGTAAATATTATCTAACGTAATATAAATACAATATAAAATATAAACATTATCTAATGATTAATATCATCTAACGATTTTAAATGAATAAAAAAAGAACCTGTTAAAAATAGATCGTCACCGGAGGGAAGACGGTTACAAGTGTGTGAAACTTACGTGGAAACTTTTTCAGAAAATGTTTCGCTCCTCCGACATGGAGGACGTTGCTTTTTCCGATTTTTGTCCAATCGCGCGTATCGTATTTAAACGCGAGATGAAAGTGCGAAAAAAGTGAGGATTATCGGAACGGGAGATGCACACAATCGATTTCCCCTCCGGACAATTCGAGTAAAACGGAACGTAGCGGAGCTACGTAGAAGGGGAATTTCCTTTCCCTCTTTCGAGGAACCGAGAGATTCATTGCTCGCACACAACACGTCGTCGTAGTCCGTCGCACGGTGCGATATTGGCGCGCGTTCCTTTTACAAAGACGCGCACAATTAAGATCTGCGTGCGTGTTGTTGCGCGATGCGTGGTGTCATCCCTGCCGATGACAAGCCGGGGTCGGACGATACGCGCGCGTGTACGTAACGTAACATATAAAATTTATCATTTATACGCAGTCTTCGTTACGCGAGGCGCAAGGTGACTCGGCGATCTGCGGACTCAAGTGTATTAAGAAGTGGATTCGAACGCGATATCGCGTATACGTCACGCCGCCAAGTGGAAAATTTTCTTATAGAGTGACATTTCGCATTCGCGACTTCTGAACGTCGAGATTTTTGTTCGATGCCACACGCACGATGAGCCGACGTAGTCGATTTTGTAAACGATATAAATAAGAGAGCGAGAGAGAGAGAAAGTTATATATATATATACGTATCATATATGTATATATATATATAGCTCGAAAAATCCGAGTATTTGGCGTCTTGAGCCCGGCGTCTTTTCTTACGCAAATGTACGAGTAATTGCACACGCCCGATCCCTGAGTGGATGATTTTGATTTTTGTACAGGCGATTAAGATATATCTTCGAGAGATTTCCATAATGTATCGCAAACTCAAATGCGAGGTAGAATATCTGACGGAGGAACACCTCTCGGGTTTCGAGAGCTATAAGGTGAGAGCAATCGGCTCTTTTTTATCAATTTTTTTTGTGCACAACTCGTAACTGCGTTTTTGTAAAATTATTCGGTACATATTATTCAACAGTAAACGCGTCGATCTTTATGCGTTAGAAATGTTACATAATATGTAACATTTTTACAAGTATGATGATTTGCAATAATCATGAGTCAATGTGGATGATCAATCAAATCTTTTTTATGTTCTACGCACTTGTTTATAAAGCGGAATTTCATTACTCATCTCAACTATTTTTGATATTTCAGTACAGCTCATTAGATACAAGTCCTTTAAGTGTATATGTTATGCACCCCTTTTGGAACAAAGTGGTACAGGTATGATCTGCTTTTATAGCGCGAGACGCACGCAACAGTTTTTTATTAATATATATAACAATAGACAATTACTTGTAACTAATATATACTTTTCTTAGAATGCACATATATGTTTATATATTTGTATAATAAGGTAGTTTTTTTTTAATGTACTAATTGTTTTTTTTTTTTTTTCTAGTATTGTCCAAAATGGGTTGCTCCGAATGTACTAACTTTCTCCGGATTTCTTTTTACCGTGTTAAACTTTATGTTATTTGCGAGTTATGACTACTACTTCTACGCGTCTAGCGATGACAAACCGGAATACCCTCCAATACCAAGATGGGTGTTTGCTGTAGCCGCTTGTAACATTTTTATGGCATATACGCTTGGTATGTGTACTTTCACATTGTGTGTTATTCACATATATTGACGTTAGTTAATGTACAATATATTAATCAATAATACGGTTGAATTTAATGAAATTTGAAAACAGAGCAAGGAAGTGATATAATTTTGTCAATAAGTCTCGTATTAAGGAATCAGTTTTGATCACAAATGATTAAAGAATTTCACTGATAAACTTTTTTAGATGGAATAGATGGAAAGCAGGCAAGACGCACACAAACATCCGGTCCTTTGGGAGAGCTATTCGATCACGGACTGGATAGTTGGACCGCTATGTTAATTACAGTTTGCATGTACTCGGTATTCGGCAGAACGGATCACAGTGTCTCACCGTTACGGATGTACTTTATACTGTGGAATGTATTTATTAATTTCTATTTGAGCCACTGGGAGAAGTACAACACGGGAGTGCTGTTCCTTCCCTGGGGATACGATGCTTCCATGCTAGTAAGTCTTTTTTTTTTTCACACACTTGTGCTTTTTACAGATATCTATGAAAATAACATTACTTCACGATTATTGTTTTATTCTATTTAGGCAACTATCATAGTTTTTACCCTCACCAGCATAGGCGGGCACGAAGCCTGGAAATTCGAATTGCTGGGTGGAATCTCAGCGGGAATGATGTTCGAAATGTTGTTTTACGTCAGCGCGCTTGTGTCCAACTTGCCAGTTGTTCTTTGGAACATTTACAAGTATGCTTTGTTGTTGTTATATAAGAAATTAAAATCCACACATCACACAGTTTTAAATATACATATAATTTATAAAACTAGTTTTATCGTATCCATATTGCTAACTGTGTTAATTCGCGTGATAAATAGTTGACGATTTTTATACAGATCGTACAGAGATAAAACCGGCAAAATGCGAACGTTCCCGGAAGCTGTTAGGCCGCTGGTGCCTTCGATTTTGCTCTTCGCGATCTCTACCATCTGGGTCGTGCATTCTCCTACCAATATTATGGAAAAAGATCCGAGAATAATATTTATTGCCATCGGCACTATTTTTTCCAATATATGTGTAAGATAAATAAATACATATATATGTAAATTTAATGTCATTAATACTTTTTATATATTTTTAAATTTATTCTTATCGTTTGTTGTTGCAGTGTCGATTAATTGTATCCCAAATGAGTAATATCAGATGCGAGATATTACCGTGGATACTGTTACCAGTCGCAATAGGCACCATTTTCTCTTTTATCTTGCCTAACCTAGAGCTGGAATGTATGTATTTAGTTTCTGTAATAGCCTTGTTAGCGCATATTCATTACGGAGCTTGCGTGGTAAGTCTAATGAAAAACCTTTCTTTATTATAAATGCAATTAAGATAAGATAATTAATTGACACGTACGTTTAATTGTGTACACCTACGTTTTGATTTCAGGTACGTCAAATGTGCCGTCACTTCCGCATTCAAACGTTCTCCATAAAAAATCATTCCGACTGACTACTTGCCGACGATGCGTGTTAAAAACGAAGAGATTATTATAGGCGTAAGAAAAATACAGATTGATAAAAAAACAGAGAAGCAAATAGGGAGAAGAGATCTGACACACATACACACACTTACTTACACACACACACGTACACGGGAGAATTAAATCGATTCCGCAAGAGAAAGGAAGTTCTTCCTCTGTGTCTCTACCAAAGATCTTCAAGATTTCAAATTGAATCTCGACTTGCTTTTTTGTCAATTGATCAGGTTGTCTATTATAAATAAAGCATATTATTGTTTTGCGACTCTAGGTCGCAAACGTCTGATCGGTAGTCGATTGGCAAGTCGATTAAAACAATTGAAGCAAAATGACTCTTCTCGAGGAAGAAAAAGAAGTTTCTTTTTTCTCTCACGGATTTGATTTATTGTTTCTCTCGAGTAAAAAAACACGTTTACAATTAGTGTAATAATTACAAAAAAAAGTTAATTGCCATGACAAACTTATCGTGAGAATTTAACAAAATTTCTAGCACGTGTCTTTTGCGCGTCACGTTCGCGCGAGTGCGCGAAAA